ACATGACTGTTCAGATCATTGCTGCCGTGTCGGGCCAATTTGTTGCTGACAGCTACTGGAATGCTGATTTTAGTGGGCTAAGTAAATATGGGAAATACCAAGACAGGATTCCTGAGCTGCCAGAATGTGCAGAGTAAGGGCAGAAAATGGTTTGAAGAAACATGTTTGACATTTAGTAGGGACTGCTTCTCAGATTGTGAAGCCTCTTTAAGACTTTCCTTGTGAAAGTTGAGAATGATTCTACTAGAAAAAGTCTACATAAAGTTCCCTTATTTTGGCCAAGATGTATAATATGGTGATATGGTGAGAAAATTTTACGACAGGTGGAATGACCAGGCTGTATGTATGGTTGAAATTTCTTCTAAAGAAATGACACTGCTCAATTGTGATGGTCAAAAGTACAAGATTTTGAATCTGTCAACTGTAATAAAAAGCCCTTGCGTAACAGCAGAGGTTTAAAGGGAGCATGATCTAATTTGTTTTACCTTGAAAGGTTATTGCACAGGAGGAGATTGTTGCCTGGGTCTTCTCGCCATTGCCATGCTGGAGACAGATTAGTGTTTGTTCCAGCAGAAAGCTTTGGGTTTGGTCTTGCTTGCATTGCAGTCCTCTCTGGTTGGGGTACACATGTAATCTTTTAATCTTTGCTGTCTGATTAGGTTTATGCTCCTGCACTGAGTGTGAGAGGATATAACATGGAGCATCTCTGCCTCTTATGCTGCTGCTGCTGCTCTCTTCTTGATGCAGAAAAACAGGAGCTTCCTTGCTTCAAGGAAGATGGAATTCTGCTTAAGACACAGTCTGTTAGAAACTTCTGTCAACAGTCCAGTGACTGTCTCTACCACATGCTTGTTGCTGCATTTTCTTTTGACCTCAGGTTACTGTGGATGTTTTAGAAGACTTCTATAAATTATTTACTGTAGTTACAGCCCTTTATTTTCATGTTTTCTTTTCATGCCCCTTTCCTTGGACTTTCTCTGTGGCACATCCAAAGAAAGTGGATTCTTTAAAATTCATAGTAGCCCAAGCATTTGGAGGGGAACAATCTTAATTCTTATTTCTAAAAGCATTTATTCTGAAAATAAGAATTTACTTATTTCTGTAGTGACGCAAATTTGTGCTAATGATAGTAACTTACAGCATCTGCTGTCATGTAGATAAGATGGTGATCATCAATCACTAGAATGCCAATTTATCGGCAATTCAGCAGTAGCAGTTTATAAGGCTACAAAAGGGTCAGTGCCTTTTCTTCATCCTTTATTTTTGGTCTTATTTTTGCAAATGGAAAAATCTGGAAGCCAGAATAGGGAATAGAGGGTTCATTTATGAAATGAGTTAATCTCAAGATTTCTGTCACTTCATCCTTAATCCTTACACTAGTTTCCTCCTTCCCCCTGCCACCCCATTATAAGAGAGTTACAAAATAACCATAGTCTCATGTGTGGTGAGCTGAGAAAATCTGTACTCTGAGCTGGCTTTCATGCAGCTAACCTTAGGTATTACGAAGGGTATTTTGGGGATATTTCTACCCTTAGACTTTCCTAAGATACAAAAAATGCATTTTTCTAATGATAAGAAAGCTCCCCAGCAGCACCTGGAGCCCTGCAAGACCTATCTTGCCATGTTTCTTATCCTTTTTCTTTGGGATAGGCTGAGGATGGTTTTCTAAACAAAACATACAAGTGTTTTTCCTACAACTGCAGTTTGGCTGTTCTCTAGATTAATAAATGCTGGCTCTTACCACGCGTCCTGAAGTAGCATGGAATGTTACTTCTCATCTTCCCTGAGGAGCTAGAGGGGCTCATGGGCAGCTGGAACGCATGTGCTTATGAACAGGGCGCTTGCTTTCTTGGGAGTGTTGTCAACTGACCTCAGAAATCCGCAGCAGAGGACTTCCTCCAGCAGTGTGCTGAGATGGGTGCATGCCTCGCAACAATCCTGCGGAAAACAGTCTGCCGAACACAAAGGTGGCTTCTCAAAGTGCACAGGCAGCCCCTTCCAAAAACCTGTTGAGCCTGGGCGCTCGGCCAGGCTTGTAGCCAACCTAACCGCAGACGTCCTCCAAACTAGCTCTGGAGATCAAACACCTGGAAGTGAGGAAGAAGAGGAGGAAAGCAGGACCCTCAAATTGAGGGCTGGGACCCCCAGCTGGCATGTGCGCCTGCGCACCCGGGGGGAGAGTCGCGCAACTGAAGGTGGAGTTTGTACCTCCCCTGGGCTGCCTCCTGGGTCGGACTGACCCTACGTGCCAGGATGCACCGGGCAGAGAGAGGACACTGCGGAGAGAACCGGGACAGGAGAAACTACTGACTCTGAGGCCTGCGCTGTCTGCACGGGAGCCGGTCAGCAACTCTCTCTGATCTGCCAGCTCGAGAGGATGTTCGGGTCCGGTATCCCTCTGGCACAGAGTAGTTATCTGTGCTTTGCTTCTTTTATGTGCTTTCACCTGAATAAATGCTTGATGTAGTCACCTCGTTCTTTATGATTGTTGCCGAATCCCGAGCCCATCCGGAACATCAAGCGAAGCTTCTTTTGGTACATCTGCTTTCACAAAAGGCACTACAGAAAAACTAAGGGGGAAGAAGGCCAAAAAGCTCCTTTTGATGACATGCTACTTATTTGCTTTAAGTGGTTGCTTCTTCCTCTTTAAGAAAACCCTCAGTTTGAAGAACTTGTGAAGACTTTTGTTTTCATTTTCTGTCCAAGAGTTTCACTGTCTGAAAGCTTGTGCTATAGAAATAAACCGCGAGACAGCCTGGAAGGTGTAGTAAACATATTCCCTCTCTACCCATCCCTTTCACATCCTGGCTGTCTCTCATGCAGAGGCATAGCGGACCAGTGAGCAGCGAAGAGCTCCTGGCTTGTTGTCCTGGTCATTCCAGAATAGCATTCCCCCTGAGAGCTTCAAAAGATGGTGTCAGAGCTGGTATCTTCCTTTTCCGATGGATTTGCTTAATCACCTTTTGAACCCATGCATGTTTAGAGAATCTACACTACCTGCATTTCCAAAACTTTTAATTATGTCTGTTGTGAGTGGGGGGAAATTCTCCTCTCTTTGTCATTTCCACCTGCTAGTCTTTGCCCCCCAGTGAAAATATTAGAGGAGGTAATGAACAATCACACGCTCTTGTCCTCTCCATTGCTAGTGATTCTGTAGATTTGTTGTGCCTCAGTCTTCTACCCTTTTCTTCATATTTTCCCTCTTTTTCTAAAGAGGAAGTGACAAGAATTTCAGGCTGTGTGTGACCCAGTAGTACGCCGCAATTTGTACCATAGCTTTCCAAAAAGTTCTCAGTTTCTCTTGACAGAATTGAGAATGATTTTTTTTTATTGTTATTGTTAATGGTCTGGTGAGGAACTCACCTAACGATTATACTTTTAAATGGGAGACTATTTACAGAATTTGGAGGAGAGGCAAACTGTCTTGAGAGGAACTGTTAAACTTTATTTTCACTTTTCTTAAGCTTGGATCCAATTCTTCAGGCTCTGCCAATTTTTATCTTTCCTACCATTTCCAACACCTTGTATTAGTTGTCAGCACACACTGTCAGTAACCTCAGCCTTGCTGAATCTTACTTGAAGCAGGATTTGGACCGCTTGTTTTCTTGCTTGTTTTCTTCACCCTTTGTTTTGTAAGTGAGATTCTCTCAATACCTAATTTCTAACTCTCACAGGGGAACAAATGCTTTTCTGAATCCCAAGCAGCTGTACTGTTTACCCGTGCTTAATCTCTCGTGCTCTCACTTACGACAGATCCTTTCTGGGTACTTTTGCTCTGTTTGCCACCCTCTTTCAACAGGAGGCCAAATGGCTGATTGCCACTGGAAATTTCCTATTGCTTCACTTGGTTTATAGAACACTCAGAGTTACTTTGGCAGATATTTAAAGATGAGTTCAGTTCTGCTGAGACATCGTTGTTCAATAGCACTTGCATAATGATCTGACTAATAAACAATCTGGATGGTTTTTGTTCTTGCCCCTTTAATTTAGAGCGTTTCCATGTTATAATAATTTTTCTCATTGCCTGAAAATTATTGCTCAAGAAGCAGCAGGGCAAACTGCAGCAAGTGTGTGCAGTGCCGTCTGCGTGGCTGCTCTGCACTTGCCTGCCTTTAAATGCCTTTTAGAGAGGGCTGCTTGTTAAAATTCCAAATGCTAACAAGTTATAATTAGTAGGATAATACCAGGCACTATTTCTAAAATAACAGTTGTCTAGTTAGTATAACAGAGTGCTGAGCATCAAGTCTCATTGTTTCTATATACAGCTCGCTTGGCTTGGTCTTTATTTTGATGTGACTGGTTAATATGTCTCTGTTTCACTGTGGCATTGGAAGTTGATGCTTAGAAGTAGTTTTGATCAAAGGCAGCGCTAATGGATCCTTCTGTAAATATTTTTTCAGGGTGAAAATAAAGCAACACTTAATTGAGCTAAATAAGCACATGGCATCAAGTTGGCAGTGCTTGTGTATGTTTTGCTTTCAAAACAGAATTCTATTCTGTTTTTGAAAGAATAGTTTTCTTAAATAGCCTCTGTAGTAGCTTTATATGATTATTTTTCAATATTTTTGCCTGTTCATTTTCATTATATTCATTGCTTATTTTAGCAGGAAACTGTAGGAAAAGCAGCTGGTAGAAATAGAGATTTAAATATCTCACAATATTGGAGGAAACTTTTTTTGTTCCTTTATCTTTGTGTAAAAGATGTCCTCTGTGCTTTTCCTTTGCTAAGCTGGATAGAATGCGGAGCTGTTCTGGGTATTTTAAAAATGTCAAGCATCAGCATTTTGAAATATCTAGAGATTACTTCGCCCAGTTCCGTATGTACCTGCAGAAATGCAGATTGTTTGGTCTGCAGGGTTTCGGATGCTGTGTCTTATATTGGAGATATATTTATACTCGGATGCCTTTTTTTTTTTTTTTTTGCCCTTGGGAATATGCCCAGCGGCTCGGCTGCTGGCGCCGCTGCAGCTTCGACCTAGGTCGCCAGAGCGCTCGTCGTCATGTCCGTGACTGTCACGGAGAACGACCCGCCGAGGTTCTTCGTCGGGGGAGAAGACAGCGAGGAATTGCTGGACTCGGCCAGGTCCGCGGATTACGATCGCTTCTACGGCCATGCGGAGGAGGAGGAGGAGGAGTATGACTCTGTATGTACCTGAGGGATGTGGGGCGCTCTGTGCTTTCCGGTCTGATTTTATCCTGCGTGCTTTCTAGTGCTGTTTTACCTGGGACATGACGTTGGCTCTCTTAGATCACCATTTCAGTATTAGATTTAACTTGGGAAGTGTCTGATCATATTAAGATAATGACCTGTCAGTTACATTTGGAAAAGCAGCACCCTTAAAAATACATGTACATATATATGAGTATACCTTGAACCTGGAAATAGATGTGCTTGATCTTAATGCAGATTCTGAGGACAGTTCAAGGGGTTGTGCCAATTTCGCAGAATTCATTTGGCTTCTGGAATTAAATTTCAGCACATAAGCCCTATTTGATAATTAGTAAATAATGATGGAGAGTTTACCCGTGGTATATGTTGTCAGCCGCTTTGGATTTACCTTTGATTTTCAGTTTGAACAGACTCTTATTTTCGTCTTATAATCATCTTACTGTTGTTTTCGTGAGGGTATGACGTGTTTTTATTCTTTCCTTCTTTCTTATCTTGGTGCACCTCTAGAAAATGCATGTGGTATTAAGTTATACCCTAGTTTTATGCTTGCAGAATTTTGTGAATTGTATTTAACACTGTGCTTGCCACTTTTTAGCTTAAGACTGAAGCTCTTGTTTGATTCTGCATGAGTCATGCTGTGTTACAGTAACTTTTCACTTCAGGGAATGGTCAGATTGAATTTGCTGATTGCAAGCATGCCTAAAATTTAATTGAGATGTTAATCAAACACTTGACTGTGATTAATAGGAATTCCAGCACCTACTGCAAAATTAGGAGCTCAGACTGTTTGCTGCAGTCACTGTATTTTAACAAGAAGTAGTAACTGACAATGTTCAAAAGAATAATAAAATAAAGGATTTTTGTGAGGTTTTCTTTTTAAACAGATGTGACAGGTGTCACTCTTGACGTGACTGAGGAAACTAAAATTGTTAAGGGCTTGTAAAGTGAAAGAGCATATTGACCGTACAGAAGATAAGTGAAACTAACTATACCCAGAATAACCCTGAGAAGTCTACAGGAATATCTTTCACTCGATTAGCTTTCATTTTCATAGTTTACCTATTAATAATAGGTTATAAACTGAGAGGCCCTCTGGCTAATATGTTTAGAAAGATTAAATTATTTAAAAATTGCAGGTTAATTTTGCAGTAAGCCACAAGAATGATCTCACTCTAGTGTGGCATTTCTGACTCAGTTTTTGATCCCATACATTTGTTTCTGGTATGATGCTCACAAAAATACTTCAAAGTAGTAGAGTGCGGTTGAACAACTTAATGTCTTGAAGCATGTTTCATAAGAACACAGGGCAAAATGCTACCATCCCACACTGCTAGCAATTTACTACCTCTAATTTAGCTTTTAATCACGAATGTGAATTTTAACAGAATGTCTGTGCTAGTATTATTCTGCTAAAGCACTGTTGCATTCTGAGAAGACTTAATAATTGTATTTTTCTTTTCCCCTCTTCAGCCGCCAGAAAGACAGATTTTGGTTGGGATTTGTTCAATGGCTAAGAAATCTAAGTCCAAACCAATGAAGGAAATTCTTGAACGCCTCTCCATGTTTAAATACATAACTGTTGTAATATTTGAAGAGGATGTCATTTTGAATGAGCCAGTAGAAAACTGGCCTGCATGTGACTGTCTCATTTCCTTTCATTCTAAAGGTAGGTCTTTTATTAATACAGTAAATATTTTCAACAACTAAATATTTCTTCCAGACTGGGGATTTTTTTTTAGTTGTTTTTGCCTTGTAGTTCTCTTGAATTTTTATAGGAAGCACTGCCCTCATTTAATGTAATACAACTGACTTTTGCAGTGCACCTCTTGAAATGATGCTATTTTTATTGTGTGTGAAAGTTCTGGTCTGGCATGACATTTAAAATAGCTGTTCCCTTAGTAAGTACTTGGGATACTAGTGGAATGGTGAGCACTGTTGATCTAATACCAACTGGGACCAACTGTAACAGCAGGCTGTGCTCGCAGTGGGTGTGCTGGGTCTCTGGCTGCATGTTACTGCATCTCAGATGCTCTCTTTAAGACTTTTATTTTGTTTGTGGGACTATTCAGTGAACCAGAGGTGAGTGGGTTGAGGTTAAAAATCACAATTTCAGGCAAAGGCAACATAAGCCCTAGTTCTGGCACTAGGGAATGTGAGGTGAGGAGGAGGGAGTGGGAGACAGGACCACTGTTTCTGCTAATACATACTGAAGTTGGCCTGCAGTTCCATGTTTGTCTTCAGCTCACATTAAGTGCGTCTTGTTAAGGGAGGGAACATCCTCCCAGTGCTACACATCTGGTTATACCCTAGTGTTTGTGAATCAGGTTACCAAACTAGTGTTGGGCATGGGGGTTTTAATCTGTATTCTTCAATAAACGTTTTAGGTTTTCCACTGGACAAAGCAGTCGCCTACGCAAAACTCAGGAATCCGTTTGTAATCAATGACTTGAATATGCAGTATCACATACAAGACAGGTAAGGGGTGGTAACTACCCTGATATCAAGAACAAATCACTTCTAAGGGAATGACTGGGAGAATTTTCTGGTATCACATTACAACGCTTTCAATGTATTGTACAGTAATTAAAATTACAGTGAATTTCATGTTTTATTAATTTATGTACAATTTTCTGCGATATACTTTTTTTCCCTGCCTTGACTTCCTTCGTATTGATAGCTTTGAAGATTTACTGAGATAGACATTTGGAATACCTTTCTCTCATGCCTAGCCAATAAAAAAGTCTCAAAGTCAGAACATACATATAACTTAGACTTGGGATTGTACAGTCCTCTGTTATCAAGCACTAACATGAAGTGACATAGCATTTGCTTGTCTGAAAGTGTTTGTTAGTCTGACTTTTGGATGTATGTTTGATCACCTCTTATATAAGTCTTTTGGAGTTGTAAAACTTAAAGCATGAGATCCTGATGCCACCTATGGAAATGTGGAGGAGAGTTGCTTCATGACTTTAAGTTGCTCTGAAATGTTCAGTTTCTTGTGCAGGGCTGATGTTACACTTTGAGCGCTGTGTTTGGCAGCTGAATGTATTGAAAGAGAACAGCCTCAATTAAGATAGTTGTTATGCAAGATGATGCCAGCTGCGAAACAGGAAAAGCTGAACTGGAAGTATATTAAACAGTTGATTGCTTTCTGAGATGAGGAAATAAAAGCATGTTTGCCTTTTGGGCCATAACTGCTATTTGGGCCATAACTGCTATTTGCCACTGTAAAATGTTCCGTAATTAAAGAATTCACGTGGCTTATGGAAGGCTTTTTCTGGAAAGTGAGAACTCCTGAGGGTTGCAGAATGACCACGCGATCTTTGAATAGCAAAGCAAATTTTCTTTTGGGGCTGTGATCCTGCTTAGCAAATACTAACAGAAAAAAAAATAGTAAGCAAAAGCAATGGCAGAGCTTTGTGGTCAGTGAGCAGACCTGCTATTTTAGATGACTCCAGTTGCTGTGGAACCCTTCTTGTTAATCTCCTGTGCTGGGAGACTCATTCTGTGCAAATTGCCCTTGCCCTATGAGCATGGAGGGAAAGCACTGGTGCTGCCCACGTGATTGTTTTAATGGTACCGATGAGATCCCTGCCAAGGTGACGCTCTCCATCAACAGCCTTTTTGAAGCACCATATATACAAATGGGGTGTTACAGTATATGTGTGAGCTTAGGTGCTAGGGTGTTAGTTACCTCTTTGATTCCACACATTCATGGGCTGGAAAATACAAATATTCTCAGGACCTGAAATCTTACTGTGCAACTTCTGTTTTTTTCCTCTAGGAGAGAAGTATACAGTATTCTTAAGGCTGAAGGCATTTTACTTCCTCGTTATGCAATTCTAAACCGTGACCCAAACAATCCTCAAGGTAAAAACTGATGACAAGAATATCAATATTATCTTTTGATTTCCATTGGAGAACAGTGGTTTCATATTGGAAAAATAAGCTTAGCTTCCTAGAGAATTAGTTCATTCACTTGGAGATTTTTTTTTCTCCAATATTTAAAGTATGCATTTGAAAAGAATGATTCTGAAGTCTGAGGTCGAAATTCTCTTATAGCCATCACAAGCCAGCTAGGATGAGGCCCTCCAAACTCAAACTGATGTAGAAATACGCAACCAATTTGATATGAAAGCTACTCTCAAAGGAGAGGAAGTTTGTCTGTCATTATGCATGGCAATTAGTAATCTTGCTTAGAATAGAATGATAGGGTTGTCAAAAGCAACTTGGGACTATTGAATTCTCTCTCTTCCAAATACAAGGAATGATGTAAAGGAAATTTAGTCCAGAGAGATTCTGCAGAGATTATCTCTCTGAATATCACTTTCTTGTGCCTTTTTTTTTTCTTTAAATCAAATCTTAAGGGTTTTTTCTACTAAAAATCAAACCTTATACAGCTATAGGAGATTGCAATGACTGGTTAAGCCGTAAGAGTAAGAAATAAGAATAAGAAAACTTAGAGCATTACCATGTTGTATCTCTCAGGAGAGGCAGAGAATTTTAGGTGCAAACCATCTGTATAATCTTGGGGGAAAGAAGACTCATTTTGTGCTACTGAAGTCAACTGAAAGCTGCTGTGCTGAGCTAACCTGTAGCAAAGTGATTTCTGATTGAGTACACAGTGGAGAGGGTAATCAATCAGATTGTGAGAGAGTTCTCAGCAGATTAAAAGTGCTGTTGCATTTGGCCCCACGTTCACTGTCTAGCTGTGATCGCTCTGGTATTTCAGAGAAGGGCACTGAAAGAAAGAAACTAACAGTCCCACCTCCTCCCTTCAAAACAAACCTCCTCCCCTCCCAATTCCCCACCACACCCCAAAAATTACAGCCCATGCTGTACAGGACTGTGCATCTATAAGGGATGATTTGCTCTCCGATTCTGCATTTATCAGCAGAAATCCTGAAACATAGGATTTAATACTGTTTAGATGTGGCACAGCAAACACATTCAGCACGTGATGATGAAGTCTTTGTGCAGTCAGTAACAAATCAACCAACGAAGGATTGATAGTAATCTTAATTTCATCCACCAAAATCACCTTTAATCTCTAATCATTTTTTTCGATGCATACATCATTGCATTTCTGTTTGCACTGTTTCTTCAGAATGCAGTTTGATTGAAGGAGAAGATCATGTGGAGGTGAATGGGGAGATTTTCCAAAAACCTTTTGTAGAAAAGCCAGTCAGTGCTGAGGACCACAATGTTTACATTTATTACCCAACATCTGCTGGGGGTGGAAGCCAGAGGCTCTTTCGAAAGGTGAGGAGAATAGTGTACTAAAAGTACGGAAATTCTGTCATGCTAAGTGGAAAATTGGTGACATTAACTCTTGGGGAAGGGGTGGAGTCAGTTTCCTGGCATGAGAGCACAAAAGTGGTTTCAATAGGAAAGTTGCAGTTCCTTTTCTTTCTACCCCCTCTGCCCTCCTCATCCTGAAAAAAAAACCAAAAAAAACAAAAACCACCCAAAAACTGCAGATCCATCTTTGCTCTCGTCACGTTAAGTCTGTGCAGATCAGAAAAGCAAGTTTCAGGAAAACTTGCATAATGAATTAAGGCCCCTATTCTTTTTAGTAATTACCAACTACTTCCTGTGCTCTCCTTTTTAGAATATCGTAGATCTTCCAAAATAATCCAAGATTATCCAAGATAAATATCATAAAAATCTTCCAAGAACCATCAAAAAACTTTGGTTCACCTAGAACAGGAAATCTGTTTTATCAGCCCTGGTGGGGTACTCTAGGGAGTTTTAAAAGTCTCTCAGACAGTAGCCTGTGAGTTTATTAATAGAAAAATATTTGTTTCAGATTGGCAGCCGAAGCAGTGTTTATTCCCCTGAAAGCAGTGTGAGAAAAACAGGCTCCTATATTTATGAGGAATTCATGCCTACAGATGGCACTGATGTGAAGGTATGACAACTATGCATTCTGATTTATATTTAGAACAATCAAGTGCTCTAAGAGTTTGTCAGCTTTTAAAGATGAAAGTATGTTTATGTGTCAAGGGTTCATTTTAATCAAGGTTTGGTACAGTTTGTAAGCAGAGAATGCTCTAACTCTAGCAAAACATAGTACCTATAATTCAGAGTATCCTTGCTTATTTCTTTGCAATTAAGCACTGGAATGCTTGATACCTGGCACATTGTGGGTTTTGTTGTTTTTTTGTTTTGGTATGTTTTTTTTTATCACCACCACACAGTTTCCTATGCAAACAGATGCTACCTTGATACTTTTTTTCTGAAAATAGCCAACAAACCTGTACCTGAAATATGTTTTTATATATTTTTAGCAAATATTATCTTCTCTTTAATAAGCACTAGTTACTTACTAAAATTATATGAAGTCAAAAAAGTGTGCTAAACATACCTGTCTGTTTTCTGTCTTTTTCTCATTTACTTGGACAGATACAAGGTTAGGGGCATCATAACAGAACAGTAAAATACAGTAATAACAACAGAAGGGGATTCCGACCAGTTATCTATTGCTTTGTTTATGTTTGTATCAGAAGTCAATTGCAGGTCCCTCACAAAACCTGACAAACAGTTGTTTGCCCATGGGCATGGGAGACCATGTTTAGGCCAAGAGTGAAGGTCAGGGAGGCTTGACATTTAGCAGTCACCTTCTCCTAGCTGGAGCTGCGTGAGGGCGAAGCTGATTTTGTCTTTTCAGACCAATTCTGTGGTCTGCAAATTGCTGTCCTTTTATAAGCTGTACTCTTTGAATAGTGCAACAGGATGCAGAACATTTAGCAGTCGGTTAGCGTGAGGTTACAGAAGCCTGTGGAAAAACTTTATTATCTACTTCCAAAGATAAAACTTCCTAACGATCTGAAGAGTTGCAGATGACTTGGGTGGGTGAGGACGGCTTTGTCAACAGTGTGATTGTGCAGTTACTGAACAGCAGCTGTGGACCTCAGCATCCTGAAAAAACAGATTCTGTTCAAGTAAAAGGACTAATGTCAACTTCCTATCAGGCAGCTTGCCCTCTTACTTGAGCTGACCTGCTTGCAGGTGTTCCTGTCATCCGTATTTTAAACTATTCTAATCTCTCCTTGGCGTTCATCAAATCTAGTTGGAAACAGTCAGGTCTTGCAGGCAGTTGCTGGTACGGCAGGCCGTGCCTTGCAGTAGTGGTATGAGACACTTGCCACCCACCTCTTCCACGTGGAGGGCTGGAGGACTTTGCCTTTGAGAATCGTTTGAAGAAGTGTGACTACCTACAATTGCTCCCTTAAATTCACTGACAAAGATAAAACCACTTGAGAGAAGCCAAGTCTAGTCTCATTAGACTTTCAAGTGAGTCAATATTACCTTATATTCAACCATACATAGTCAAATGCAGCCCGAGGAAGGGATATTGTCAACTTAAAGGTTTGAGTGCCTTAAGCTAGTCCCTTATTCCATCTGATAAGAAGCAAAGAGGTGCTGAGGTTGCATGAGATCTCCTATAAGAGCCTTCTTTGGTCCTGTTGGAGAAGAGATGAGATACTTGGCAGTACTTGGCTATTGCCTGGTTAGTTGGAGACTTTACAATCAAAATTTACAAATTTGCATGTTTTGCATTGACTGCCACAGTTGAGATAAATTTAAGGTGCTTGCATATATGTAATGCAGCTTAATTACACTGAATCAAGAGTTGCTATTTTTTAATAAAGGTGTACACAGTAGGTCCAGACTATGCTCATGCTGAAGCCCGAAAGTCTCCAGCTCTGGACGGCAAAGTGGAACGAGACAGTGAAGGAAAAGAAGTGAGATATCCAGTCATCCTGAATGCCAGAGAGAAGTTAATTGCATGGAAAGTATGCCTTGCCTTCAAGGTAAGCTGATTACTTTGCTATCTGATCAAACATTTAGTGCTAATTAATTGTTTACCATGTGAAACTGCCTGAATGTTTACATGTACAGAACCAGTAGTTACCCTGCTACAAACTTCCCAGGAGGGAGAAGAGTCTGCATCCGCATTTTGTTTAGTCTGGAAGAAGTCCGCCTTTGCCTTAGAAAGTTCTGGATGGGATGCTTTTATTGTGTGAGCTTCCTGTTATTGTTGTGCTTTGCCAGTCCACAGGCCGTGTGTTTTATGCATCACACGCACACGCTGTGCTCATGTTTTCTGAGTTACGGAAACACAGCTGCAGTAGTCAAGTTTATATAACTCTTGTTAACTTGTGTTCATGCTGGGCCTGATTATTATTATTTTAGTATTGACATGATTAGTGGTCTTTTTTTTGATGTTTTCCATGTCTGTGTAGTTCAGTATACTCTTATTTAATATGTTATTTATTTCAAATATCCAATTAAATTACAATGTGGACAAAATCATTTTATTGGTGCTTTGTCTGTTCCTGCTTGTCACCCTCAAAAGCAGTGTCTCATTGCCTGCACTGAGGGTCTTGAGAATTAGTTTTGTGAACTTTACCTGCAGTGTTGATATTGCTACAGGTATAGGGGAAGCTTAAGGAGAAACTGGGAGTGTAAAATTAATAAATACAAAAATGGTTGCATAAGATGTGTGTGTGTGTGTGTATATATATATATATAATGAATATTTTTAATACTCAAAGGTGTGCCTGCCTGACATGACTTAAAACTATTTTTCTGAAACAGCAAACAGTTTGCGGCTTTGATTTATTGCGTGCTAATGGCCAGTCCTATGTCTGTGATGTGAATGGCTTCAGTTTTGTGAAGAACTCCATGAAATACTATGATGATTGTGCTAAGATACTTGGGTAAGTTTACTGACTTCATTCAGGCATTTTACCTGTTCACTGTGTTGTGTGAAACTCTTATGTGCTACTTTGCAAGTTTATATTCGACTTTCCCATTATTCCCAAATTCTTTCTGAAACAATTGAGTTAATTTAAAATGCAGAACTTTAAAGCTAAACGTTAATCTCAAGTTCAGTATTTGTTTGTATTTGACGAAAGGCAGTAGGACAGTAAAAATGTTTTGAATCTTCTGTATATGGGTGTAATGTAACCATTTTGTTCTGGCCAGAGTCTTTATGTGTTATTCCACTTTTTATTATATAAACTTCCCAGAAATAAAAGTACTAATTAGTCTTTGGCTAGAACGGCTTGCTGGTTTTCAGGGACTGTCAGTTAGATAATGGCGTCAGGTATCTGAATATTTATGTTAACCAGACCAAATCTGGTCCTAGGTGTCTATATAGGAATTGCAGTGCATAGACTTAGGTTTCCTATGAATCCTGAGCAAGTTATGGTTCTGTTGTTTCTATGGCAAATATAATTAAGGGTTACAGTAGCTTAAAAATACTATCTTAGCCAGTGTATTGTGTACAATTAAAAGAAAATACATATCTAGAGACTTAATGCCACTAGTATTCTAAAACCAAACTGGTTAAAAGTATACATATACCTCTGTTTGGAGTTTGGATGTATTGTGTAAGCAACTCTTCAACATGCTTTAAACAGCTTGTTTTGTTTTTTCCACCCCTCTCTTCTTTTAGAAATATCATAATGAGAGAACTTGCTCCCCAGTTTCAGATTCCATGGTCGATTCCTTTGGAAGCTGAAGACATCCCTATTGTGCCAACCACTTCTGGAACAATGTAAGAGAATAGTAGCTCTACCTGAATGATGTCAAGCCCTAATATAACTCGTGTGTGAATTTTTTTCTCTCTTCAAAAGGTGTGCCCACTTTCGTCTATGACCACTTGTTTTGTGTGGTGAAAACAAGGAAGGAATCACAATTGCTATGCCAGCAATCAGAGTTTCTGACCCTTAGTCCAGCTGAGTATAGAACAGCAGATTTTCAAGTGTAGCATCTTCTACGCATAGCTTCCTTCACTGCTAATCATTGCTCAGCACCAACTTAATAAGCGCTTCTAATAAACATGCTCTCTCATTAAATAAACCTCAAAATTGTTTTAAAAACTACTTCAAATAGATATTCTGTAGTTACCCGAGTCTTAAAATCAGTATTTTTTTATACCTTCCATCATTTTCAGTTAACCTTATATTCTTGCATATCCTTCCGTCACTGCTGTAGTTATGTCAAATATAATTGTGTCAACTGTCTTGATTCATGGTGTTTTTAATAAAAATTAAGGTAAAACATTGAACTAAAGAAAAACTCGTAACATTTCAGGATGGAGCTTAGATGTGTTATAGCTGTAATACGTCATGGGGACCGAACACCAAAACAAAAAATGAAAATGGAAGTCAAACATCAACGGTGAGTTAAATTTTGATAGTTTGGTAGCTCTTGAACCAAGCTCATTTCGTCAGCATGTGAAAATAATGCAATGAGGTGAGCAGAAGTTGTTTGAATATGAGTTTGTATTTGTTTATTTGGTTGTTGCTGTCTTTTTTTTTTTTCTTTTAACTCTAACCAGCTTTATTCTAGGTAAATAACAAATGTGCACCTCTAACAAGACAATAAAAGTAATTTGACTTCTTTCATCCCATGTTGTGACTTCTGTATGCTCCTGTTTAAATCTGGTGAAAATGCCTTTGCTTAAAATACTTAATCCTTACTGAAAATATTATAGCAGAGCATATTTGTGTTTCACCATTTGACTTTCTCCTTTTATCTTGCTGATGTGCTTGCACAAACTGTTACATTTTGCACCATCTTTTTGTCTTCTGCAATATGATTATATGGTGTTTTTTATACTTGCCGTCTTTAGCTTAGAGAATATAAAGTGCCTTACCTAGAGGTTTGGAATTGTGTGCAATTTCAGTAAAACATAATTATTCCTCACTCTGGGACTAGATTCTTGCATTCAGCAGTGTGTGTTGTAAATGTGTAGAACTGTATATTTGTAATTGATACTCTCCATTTCTGTCAAGGATGTTTTTTGAAAACTAAGACTAGCTAGACCTCACTGTATGCTCAAAAATATGGTCATTTGATGTGTAGGGTGTTTTGTGGAGGCGGGAGTTGTCTTTTGACTTTGCTTTGCAAATCACAATTCCTCTGACTTCGTCATGTGGGAGGGAAGATCTGAATGGGTAAAGGCTGACCTGAGCTCTTGAAGCTCAGATTTTAGCATGCTTTTTCTATAATGCACGGATGTTAATTTCGGGCCACTTTAATTGTAAAAGTCACTTCTTTAAGTAAAAATCTAAAATACTTATTAGGTATGACTTATTGGTGTGGGGTTTTTGCTTTTCTTTTGTTTTGTTTTTGCTTGTTTTAATCAATATCCTTTCTCCTAAAGATTTTTTGATCTCTTTGAAAAATGTGATGGATACAAATCTGGAAAACTAAAATTGAAAAAGCCCAAACAATTACAGGCAAGTCTTTCTTTATTTCCCTCCTCCCCACTTCATATTTTATGACAAGAATATAGTTTGTTTTAAGGAAATCCTATGGTTCATTTATTTAGGAAGTCCTTGATATAGCAAGGCAACTTCTTGTGGAACTTGGGCAAAACAACGATTCTGAAATTGAAGAAAGTAAAGCAAAACTTGAACAGCTAAAGACTGTGTTGGAAATGTAAGTATTTAATTTTATCTAATGCTTCACAGCTGTGCAGATGTCTGCTATTTTGCCTTTCCCAGTCATTTCAGTGAATGCTTGGAACTGCAATGATTAGCAAATAATATGCACTGATATATTAATTCAAGCATAAGGATTAGTACAAGAAAGGATGAGCTCATGTTTGAGATTAAGGAGACCCAGCCTCTTTCCATGTTTTCTCCTATCTGTATTTTTTATTGATTTTAATACTTAATTTAGCATGTGTCTTAGTACACTCTTTATGAAAAGACCACTTTATTTGATCTCAAGTTTTATTTTCGGGTATGTTTTTAAACCCAAAATCCTCAAACGTGGGATGTCATTCTTGCAATGTGTGACACAGTGAAGCCTGCTGGAACCTGTGGGCACTCAGGCTGTGTCTCCACTGTCCATCTTGCAGCAAGCTTGGCAGATCCCAGTCAGATTGTTGAATAAGGTTTGTTGCAAGCCTTGCTTCAGTATTGGGGCTACCGTACGCATGAATCAACGAGCAGCATTTCTTTGTTATACCCCAACTGTTGCAGGAGCACAGGAACTTCGAATATGTATTCAAAGTTCTATATTCTTATCTGAAATAATCATTTCTCTCTTCCCTGCTTCCTCCATCAATTCCTCCTTCAGGTATGGGCATTTTTCGGGGATAAATCGCAAAGTCCAGCTAACATATCTTCCTCATGGTTGCCCCAAAACGTCCAGTGAAGAGGAAGGTATAGTATTACTTTAGTGTGTACTTTGTCTTAATAGGATGTCTATTTACATAATGAAGGGATTCATGGTATCACTTTTGTGATGTTAAGAAGCAGAATATGTTGCTTTGAATGTTTATTTTGAGGGCAGATGTTCAGCAGTCTCTTAAACTGCTGAGTTGTATGCCTAAAATGAGGTATTAAATTTGTGCTTTAACATTGCTTTTTTTGGTAATAGAAGAGTTGGGAGAAAGAAACTTCATGGACTGACCAGAAATAGTGGCCTGGGGCAGATATGGGAAAAAAAAAAAACATACACTGTTATACTATTATCTATCTGTTATACCATTATCTTTAATGAATTCTTGTGCTTTTCTGGCTTTTGAGTGAAGTAACTGTAGGTATTTAGCATCCCATTTGTTTTAAGTTTCTGGCTTTTGATTTTTCTTTTTTTCCCCCCCCTCAGATTTCTTACTAAATACTCTTCACTTACATTTTCTCTGTAATTGAACTACTGCAGGTTTCTCTGTTGAAGTGCCTGTTTTGTCCTCTCTAGCCCAGTGTATTCTTAATGGTAAAATGTTATTAAAAGTTTATAATGTTGAAGAGATCCTTCACTACAGCCCTGCATAGTTTCGTTATTTTTTTATTTATAAACAAAAAAAGGTTTCTAATGTAGTTCACAACTGACCTGCTCTCCCTGTGCACAATTAGACAACAGAAGAAACGAGCCGTCCCTGCTGCTGGTCCTGAAGTGGGGAGGAGAGCTGACCCCGGCAGGCAGGGTTCAAGCGGAGGAGCTGGGCAGGGCTTTCAGGTGCATGTATCCAGGTGGACAAGGTAAAACAAATTAATGAAAATAAGAGGAGAAGGTTGCTTTGAGCTGCCTAAGCTGTGGCTGCTGCCGGAGGGCGGTACGGAGCTCTGCGCCTCCGACGGGGGCCGCGTGCAGATGACGGCGGCCGCCTTTGCCAAGCAGCCCCAGGAACCTGCAGCGTCGCTCCAGAGCCCTGATACTCACAGGGTTGTGTTTTTCTGTTGAAGGCTGAGGGTGTTGTATGGTTTATTACAGTCTGTGCTGCAATAAGGCTCCACTTCAAAGGAATTAATTCTTTTTTTTTCAAAAAGTATGTAGCGCAATGTGATAGGTTTCCAATTAATGTGCCTGGCATGTGAATCTCTGAGGGAGCAGCTCTCTGCAGACAAGTTGAACTTTTGCAGCCGTAGGAATAGACATCAGTCCTTTCCAGTCTTTCAGTCTGCTGACCTTACCATAGGTCTTCACTGGGTGGCTCAGTTCACCAGAGCACTTACCTCTACTCCCAGCTTTGGGGAGAGGCTCCAGGCACCCTCGCAGCCCAAGAGCTGGACAGCCAGGGCTTCCCTGGAGCTTGGGCAGCACCCCTGATGTGCCAGGTTCGCTTCAGCTGGTGCTGGGGCTTGTCCTCAGCGCCCTTGAGCTCCGCTCTAGCGGTCCTAAACGCAAAGATGGTGCTTTGGGGGCCGCTTCCCTGCAAGCTGCACAAGTTACCTGCCATGTCCCTGTGTATCTAGCATGTAGCCAAGAGGTATAACCTTGATTACAATTGTTGGTGTTCTGTTTTGAAGGTACTTTTACATTTCATCTTCATCTCTTTCAGCTAATTACATTATTTTCTTGCAGGGACTACTGGCCTTAGAGGGTGAGCTGACTCCTATTCTTGTCCAGATGGTGAAGAGTGCTAACATGAATGGTCTCTTGGACAGTGACAGTGATTCCTTAAGCAGCTGCCAGCATCGTGTTAAAGCAAGACTCCATGAAATTCTCCAGAGGGACAGGGATTTTACTGCTGATGATTATGATAAGGTTAGAATGGGATGACTTTTTCTGTGAAGTCAAATAAATAGCTAAGCAAATATTTGTATTGAAGAAGTAGGCAGGGATTTCATTGACCTATTTTGAAAAATTATGTGGTTGCAAGTAATTTGGACTACGAAGGAATCTGCAGGAAATTCATTCAAATATTTTGTCCCTTCCTGCCATATGAGTTATCAGAATAGCTAAAACTTTGACAGGATTATAACTGTTAATAGAGAAGACATTAGTAATTCTTTTTACTTTTTTTTTTTTAATTGTTGAAGAGATTTAAGTATATGAGGGATGGGGAATGCAATATATATTGCCTAGTTATTAAAATTTGTACCGATTTTTAACTTGTTGCAATGCCTTTTCCTAGTTCCAAGAATGATATATTGCTGAATAGCAATAGAATACTTTGTAAACAGTGAAAAGAAACATCTCATTAACATGCTAAATTAGCACATCTAAGTAAAGTCCATGCTGACTTTGTACAAAATAAAAAAAAATTATTCTTGGCTTTAAATGTAAGTATTATTTTTTTAGGAACAGTGAGAAAATAGTTAGGAAACTTTAAAAAAGAATCTAATCCTTTAAAATGCCCTTACTCTGTAGGGCATACCTACTAAAATCAAATTCTGAAAATGATATTTAATTTTATCTTGATTCCTCAGTTGTTTAAAAATGAACCAGTTTGTTTAGGTAATTTTGTGTTTATCTGAAATTTCAGCTTACTCCATCTGGAAGCATCTCTTTGATAAAATCGATGCAGGTTATCAAAAATCCTGTAAAGACGTGTGACAAGGTCTATTCCTTAATCCAGAGCTTGACTTCTCAGATCAGGCAAAGAATGGAAGATCCAAAGTCTGCAGGTACTTAAATATTTTGTAGTTATATTTAATTTCTCTCAACATACATTTGAGAGAGAATTGTAATATAACCTTTCCTCATTAAACTGGCTTATAGCAGAACTTTAATCAGGAATGGTTTTCAGTCTGATCTTGTGTGTGTGAACCTAGAATAAAAGCTTTGTGCTTCCAAAATTATGTGAGAGCAGCAGGAAGAACCCCTAGTCATTTTGGAGGTAACGGCTCTCGTGGCATCTAGAAGCGTTCAAGTATCTGCAGAAATTCTTGTCGTAATAAGTTGGGACTCACCAGTTTGCAGAAGGAATAGGAAAAGCAAATGAAAGTAAAGCAGAGCTTCTGTTAAATTGTTTAAAGAGTTAATAACATAACTGAAAATGCGCTTTTGTTATTTGCACGATCCTGAATACTTACGTGAGGTGTCTGTCTGTCCAGATATTCAGTTGTACCACAGTGAAACACTAGAACTGATGCTGCGCAGGTGGGCCAAGTTGGAAAAAGACTTCAAAACAAAGAATGGAAGATACGACATTAGCAAAATTCCTGATATTTATGACTGTATAAAATATGATGTTCAGCACAATTGTTCCTTAAAATTAGAAAACACAATGGAATTATACAGGCTTTCAAAGGCTTTAGCTGACATTGTGATTCCTCAGGTAAGCGTTTTCGGGTAGTGACTTGCTTCTAAAATAAGTATTTAATCAAATTACATGAAAGATGCCTATTCTGTCATGTTTTTAATTTGAATGTTCCTATGTTTGGCAGTAATAGAAGCCTTACATTTCACTTCTTATTTTCTGGTAACAAGCAGAATATTTCGCATCAGAAAAGTTTTGATACATAATTCATCAGATTTAATGTGCTCAGAATTATTATTTCTTTTCCAGCAGCAATAAACTCTGAGCATATATGCTTCCTGTAATGCAGCATATTAAAATGAACTTGTTCGTCTCAGTTATTCTTGATAGATTTAAGTGGAGGTGGTGTGAACACCTGCGTTTTCTGAAAGTTTATTTAACTTAATTAAAGCTTTTAGAAGCTTTTTCAGGCTGTTGCAAACAGACATTAGCAGATAACCCCAAACTGTTTAATTTCACTTTTCTTAAGTAAGCCAGAAGTAGACAAGTTGAACTTCCTTACACTGCAGGCTGTTTGGTTCAGACTAGTCTAAAATGTTGTAGGATGTGAAATTACATTGTGGGACAGAACAGACTAAAACTGTCTCCAAGTACCTGTGCAGTTACAGAGCCCTGATCTTATGCAGCGAGTGAGGGAGCTTCTTCCCCTCCACATCTCTGAAACTCCCTGCAGCAGGGAGAGCCAAAGAGCAATGACCCTCAAACGTTACTTTTGAATAGAGTTTCAGAGAAGAGTGGATATAAAATAAGGGTACATCCTGAAGGAATTCAGGAAAACCTGGAGCACCCCCACAATACAAAAGGGAAAACACCTTTTGGTGACAGGGTAACCAGGATATCCATCATAACGATGAATTTGCTTTCATTTGATGGGTAGCATAGAGCATGAGGCTTTTGAAAAAGGAGATGTTAAGTGTCATAAATATTGTAGCATTTGTCGTTATACTTAGTTTTCAATTGTATTTTACTACCACATGCCTGTCTCTTAAAATACTCCGTGGTTTTCAGTACTGTGGGAGATGAATTAGGATCTCCTTTGGGATGGTTTGCCCCAGGCTAAAATAGATACTGTGCCTCTCTCTACTGACAGTTTAAAAAAAAAAAAAAAGGTAGTGAATTGAAATCAGGTGAGATTAAACTCATTATAAATGCCTGAACATGGTGCAGGGTAAGAACATTCTCTGGATGTTTTGCTTCAGGAAAAGAGCTTCTTCATACCAGGATGCATCCGCTTTTGTGGCTTATCTAATGAATGAGCTACTTCACAAGTGAACGGATTTTTTTCATGTCGACCCAAAGAGCATACAGGCAGACCCTGTCTTACATGAAGAGAAGTACACTTGAACACTAAAAACATGTTTAAAAACACTTTGCAGCCAGAACAAAATATTAGGAGACTTTAATATCTGGGCCTTGAACGCAAAGGTGAAGATTTCTAAGTCATTTTTTTCCTATGCAGGAGTATGGTATTTCCAAGGCTGAGAAACTAGAGATTGCCAAAGGTTACTGCACTCCTCTAGTTAGAAAAATTCGTTCTGACCTTCAGAGAACTCAAGATGATGATACTGTAAATAAGCTTCACCCCCTGTAAGTCTTCAATTTTTTTTAATAGTTAAAGTAACTTTTGTAAGATTTACTGGAGGTCTTGTATGGCTTTCATATTTGAAATGTCTTCCCAGATCAGTCATTTAAAAACTATGATTTATTCGTTAAAAGCTATTTCTAAAACAAGCTCATGTTATGGTCTAATAAGACTTTGTTGACTTTTTAGCTACTCGCGGGGCGTTATGTCCCCTGAGCGGCACGTTCGCACACGGCTGTATTTCACCAGCGAGAGTCATGTTCATTCCTTGTTATCCACCCTTCGCTATGGTGCCTTATGTGATGTAAGTTAAACACTTTTTCTTCTGTTAAACTCTGGCTTCAAGAATCTATGGTGCAATTTTTAACTGCTCGGTGGAAAGGACAAGCTCCTCCAAATCACGACCCTACTGAGCTGAAGGGAGAGGACAAATGCAGTGCCTTAGATAGTACTTGAATACTAAGTTAATTTTTGAATGAATACTCTTTTGAATATACTTGATTCTGATTTTGGTAAGTGAACTTATGGAGCCAAAAATCATGTTTAGGCCTAGATTTCGGTGTCACAGGATGGTATAGCAGAATAACCTTTGGTTTCAGGCTGAGACAATTTTAAGTTTCCTGTAAGATAGTTTTCTAAATGCAGTGTGTTTCAGAATCACTGCACCGCTTTTAGAGCATGAAAAAGGTGGATATTCATTTTAAATAGTTTGGGAATGCGTGGTAGAGGCTTTCTCTTCACCCTATATTCTAGAAGCCCGAAGTTATTCTGTTCATTTGACTAGCAGAGAAATATCTAGAAACACAGCTTGATAATTTCAGTTGTTTGTTTTTGTCCTCTGTCTTGTTAAGCCTGAATTTGGTGGTGCAAAATAAACCCACCATACATACACACATTTGTTTATGGGTTTGTGCATTTGTATACATACATATCTATAGATATGGCTATAGATAAAAATAGAAAGCTTTTCAACCAAACACTACTTCGAATTAGTTTCTAACAAAATCAAACACTCCTATCAGGAGAATTTGGACTGTTTCTTCTCTCTACAAGTCTACATATGCTATCACTACCAAAAGAACGTGGAAGAAAATAAATTATGAAAACTTACATAAATGTTTAGGCATTTAAGTATTTTAAAATCATTTTATATTTTTTTTTTCTTGTTGTCCATGATGTGTTTATATATATGGTTTTCATTACCTGGAAAGAGCTTTGTACTTCTTTGAAAGTAAAATCAATTCAAATGCAGAGTGAGGGACACAGAGATCATAAGTCATTTTAAAGCCAATCACTGACTTCAATTTTCTAGATTTAAATGTGGTTCACAAAGTGCTTTTTTTTTCCCCCTTTCATTAGGAGTCAAAAGATGAACAGTGGAAGCGAGCTATGGATTACCTGAATGTTGTCAATGAACTCAATTACATGACACAGATTGTTATCATGCTTTATGAGGATCCAAACAAGGTATTTAAAGTGGGTAAATATTTTGGGGAATTTGTGATTCTAAACTGTATATTAGGGTTAAACATATTTATCATTTTCTTTAGGAACTTTCTTCAGAGGAACGTTTTCATGTAGAGCTGCACTTTAGTCCAGGAGCCAAAGGCTGTGAGGAAGATAAAAATTTACCAGCTGGATATGGATATAGACCTGCCTCCCGAGAGGTAATAATTGTGTCTTTCTTTAAAACAAAAGTCAGTATTTCAAGATGTGGATATATGTAAAACAAATTTTAAAACGTTTTGCTAGATGAAAAATAAAAATGTGTTTTTATTTGCTTTAAGACAATAAAGGAAATGCTAACACGCTCTTCTAATAGACACATACTTTACACCTTCATTTGACTTTGCCCAACTGTCTTGCTAGAAATGCAAAGTACTCCTTGTAATAAAAATGGTGTCAGCAGGTAGTGCCATATCAGCGATGTTCTGGCAAATGCAAGAAGTATTTAGGAAGTGGTACAATCTGGAATTTTTGATAGTAGATGTTGAGGAAGGACTGATATATTTGGAGTTGTATGTGTAGTTACTATTTGCTTTCTTAGAAATAAGTGATAGTAAAGAGTGGTGAGACTTCTGTGATTGGTTTCTGGATCCAGAATTCCTTTGCTATGTGAAGAGAAAGTGGAGTAGTTGAGCAGTGTGGTTACTTAGGACCTTATTGTCGTATGCAGCTGCCAGTAAGGAGCAAACACCCACAGATGTGTAAAAAGCCTGGAGGAAAATATGTTTTCATGACTAGTCATTAAATGCTATGTGATTAATCTTTTTTTTTGGCTTGCCCAAAAGGTTTACTTAATGATCACTTCTGTCTACATGGTGCCAAATGTGTAGTTAAATTGAAGAGGATTTATCTATTGCTTGTAGAATGAAGGCTCGAAGAAAACCTCCCATAGAAATGATAGTGATGAGGAGGCACATGCTTCTAAAAGGGATGAAACAGATCGGTCAGTAGTGATGTTCAAGCCAATGGTGTCAGACCCAATTCACATACACAGAAAGTCACCTCTTCCAAGATCCAGGAAGATTGGTTCTGTTGAAGTAAGTGTTTCTGTTCTGGAGCATGTCTTTTACAGAAATTAACTTTCTGCTTGCTTTTAACAAAAGGCAGTTCTGCTTTTGATTACACAAAACCAGAATGATACTATGCCTCCTAAAAGGATTGCTCTAATTCTGTGGGAAATTTCACATGGCAGTGATCTATCTGAATGGCTTTTTTTGAAATGAGTGATTATTTTGCCACAAAATACTTTGCTAATACTTTGCTCCCTCTCCACCCCACTCTTAAAACTATAGAAGGAAAAAAAATACTATTTGGAAACATTTTCAGTCTAAACGCACATCTCCTTCAAACTAACACACATTGCTTTGTATTCATCCTTAAGGCAGCTGCTTTGGGGAATAAAGCAAAAACCTTGCAGGGTGATCATGCTGAGAGGGATGCTGGAGGGTTTGGGGTGGCAAAGGGGAAGCCGGAGGCGAGAGAAATGTTTCCAGCTGCCTTTGCTTTCACGCGGAGTGAAAGTGGCTCCGGTGGTCCGGCCCTTGAAGGTAAGAGAACAAACTGACAGTCTTTCTTGAAGTGGGTGGGTTTTGTTTTTCACGAAGTGTTTAGGTACCCGAACAGTCTAGTCTGCGGTTTTGAAGGCTGTGACATCTAGATGTGCTTCAGATATGGCTTCAGTGTCACAGCAGTGGAGGATGCACAGCGGGGTCGTGGTACCACTTGTGTGGCTGAGTGGAAAAGCTTCAGCTGGTGCATAGTGGCACCTGTGTGACTTGAGTGCTAGAAGTAGACTAACAGCTTCCCATTGCCTCATTTTCAGTTGCTTAAAACCATCAGAACTTAAGATCTGCACCCAGTGCTTCTCCTTTGGTGTTTGTGTTGGGAATGCGCTGCTTGTATGCAGTACGAGCACTGCGGAAGCAGGATTACGAGCAGCTTGGTTTAGCAGTGTGGAGAGAAACAAGATGCATGGTTTTCTGCTACAAGTATATCTTTATAGCTTCACATGGCTGTCATAAATTAACAGAGGTAGTAAATGGGAATGTCTTACATTTTCTATTTACAAGTTTTATCATAAACCAATGCTCACAACATCAGTACTTCGGGTTTTCAAAAGCTGCTTTCACTATGATCATGCAAGCTCCCCTCCTCGTTATGAGTTCACGCACGCACAACTTAATATTATTTTCAACTTTTTAACTGTTTTCATTCTTATAAATTACTTAAAAGTTACTTTAAAAATATATTAAGGACATAAATTGCTAAATTTTGGCTGTGCTGGTAATGCATGTTCAAATAGGGTGTGTTGCAGCATTCAGCATTTATTTCTGGGAAGGAAATCGCCTACTTAAAGAAATGATTTGCTATTAATTTTTCTTTAAAAACTAAAATTGGAAATCTCATCTGGCACACTGAAATCTGCAAAGCCAAATATTTCGAAGAATTACACCAAATGGTATTTTCACGTGTTTTTAGAAGTATCATTTTATTGCAACTTAAACTGCAACTGCCTTGATTTTTTTTTCCTATAGGCAATTCTCTTATCACTTATGTCCATTAATTTAAGGGACACTGTCAGGTAGTATTAGATGTAACTTTTAATCTGGGTTGTAGGCCGCAATCTTTACAGAAGATGCATTGCAATTCCATATTCAGTTATGAAAACAAAAAAGTAGAGTTATAACAGTAAAGTCAATGCTTGTCAGCATTGAAAATCAAATGCTATGTTACCAAAAATGTTTGTTATTAATCATTGTAATAATAGTTATGTAGGGCTTGGGGGAATCTTAGCCTGACAATGTCCCTTCAAGTTTTAGAGCTGTCCAGCATTAGAAAACTAGTATAATTTAAGTTGGAAGACCCATGGTGCCACTACCAGACAGTCAGCTGTAAAATCTCCAAGGCAATTATAAAAGGTGTTAGAAATATTTAGTCAAGTTCCCAGACTAGAAATGAAAACTATTAAGTATTAAATAGGAAGGGTTAATGTGCTTAGAGGGGGAAACTGTTAAATAGTATGTCAAGAATAATAGATGTTGCTTTCAACATGTAGAGGAATTTTTTAAGCTTTAAGACCATTATAGACCTCAGCTATTTTTAATAATTAGCCTACCAGAACGTGATGAAACTGTTGTGTTTAAAGATACAAGTGATCACGAGCAGAACCAATAGCTTTGGAGTCCCTAGTCCCCGTAGGATAGTTGTGAAAGAAGCCGTGTATAGAGTCCGGGTGCGAGCAGAGCGGGTTTTTTTCTTTCCTGTTCATTTGGCTCTGTTGAATCTAACTTTGCATGCTTTGCTGTTTTTTGCCCCCTTTCTCACTTCCAGGAAGAGAGCCCCCTGAGTGTGTCTAGCCCAGAGTGTATTGGTACCTGGCTGCATTACACCAGTGGTGTGGGTACTGGGCGTCGAAGACGCAGATCAGGGGAACAAATCACTTCTTCCCCTGTCTCCCCTAAATCATTGGCTTTCACATCCAGTATTTTTGGCTCATGGCAACAGGTTTTTAAACTTTACTTCATTCAACATTATTATGCATTCCGAGCAACAACCAACTGTCTTTAAGGACATCTAATCCCTTGTTATGGATTACATTCGAAGCAAATTCTTCCACTTCTTAAAATTACTTCCCGAGAATGTTTGGGGGGGGGAAAAAAGAGCAAGTGCATGTTTTTTCCACGGAATGTGTTGCACATCTCCCTGAAGAATTGGTTCCTCTTTAGGAAATGCAAATGTTAACACAGTAGAAAAAGACACAGTCTACTGCCTAATGAAAGAGATTTCTGCTTTGGCTTAGTTGTCCTTTAAGACTTTGAAAATGGCATTGCTTAATTTGGTGGTAGGTAAATTGAATTTTTTTTTAAATAATGGCAAACAGTACCATTTAAAGTAATTTATTTGGAACTTCATATTGCTACTCAAAACTTGTTTTGCATATATCATATTTTCAGTGGCCTGGTATTAACTACTGCAGGGAACAAACTCTAGCACTAATAATTCTTGCCTTCTGTATCTGGAGGTGTCTAAAACTCCCAACACAGCACATCATCCATTGAACTGTACAATATTTTGAAGATGTTTCTAAATGCTGGGGAGGAAGCAGGAAAAAAAAGAAAAAAGGAAAAAAGGGTACAAACATTTCGAAGCATCAATCAATGAAGACCTAAAGGCTGTTTAGTATTTCAAGATATTGTTTTACCTCTATGGCAATGGATGGTGTTCTGTCAATCCTACCCTTCTCTTTTATAAAAAAAATTTTGTAAT